TGCATTTCTGAATTCACATCTGTGGGAGTTGTGGATTGTCACAGTTCATTCGCTTTTGTAAAATATCCACAATTTTCTGACAAGCAACTTCCAAAGTCCATTCATCGATTGGGTGGGTAGTGGACCCCTTTCAGCATTTTACTTTTTAGTGTAAGTGTTCTTTTGCTACTGTAATATAGAGCTGGTGAAGAAAAAGAACAGGTGCTAAAATAAATAGTAAAATATAAAACACGTCATACAAAGCAATTCAATGTGCCATTAGTGGTACAATGGTGTCAATAAACAAATGCATGTTCTACAGGAAAATCAGAAACAAGATGCTTTCAGTTATGGCCCTATGACTCCATGTCTGTTCATTCCTTTGGGAAGTGCCAGTTTAATTTTTTTGGTTTCTTTTCAGTGTTGTGCAGGCCCTTGCAACTGCATTGTTTGTATAAATTTATACCAGGAGTCACAGAGTTAAAAGAAAGGCATTTTAAATCACTGAAGACTGCAGGTCAACATAATCCAGTACCATTGTGTCTCTTAACTTTCCGAGCTCAGGGTGTCAGCTAAGGGGATAGCATTTTGTTTTGTTTTTGTTTAAGGAGCCAGATTGCCAGTGTAGAATACTTGCTAATGTTAACACATTTCTTAGAGTTGGGTGTCAAGGAATGAGCAGTATTCTGTATATTTGCCCCCAGTGGGGCCTTGAGGAAGACCTACACAGTGCACACTTTCTTCTACGTTCTTTGAAGCAGTCTTGAGTGAGGAGCACAATTAAAAGCCGATCAGTATCCGGGTACTCGCGCGTTATCTACCCTGCCACACTCCGCTAGCGCATCTTATCGTGGAGGCTGCTCATGCTGTTCAGTGTAAAGACAGTCTTTCTGAGGTAGACTGCTCCCGTGCAAGGACACGTCTTTTTCTTACGAAATGCATGACATTCAAAAAAAGACAACAAATAAATACTACATGTACAATATGTAGCAATGAGGTAGAAATGGTTATAAAGAACAACGTTTGAATATACGTCAGATGAAAAAAGGGGGAAAGAAGTGAATATTACCTAGCAACTGCATATAATGCACAAAGGAGCACGCGTGCGCACACGCACACAAGCACGCGCGCGCGCGCGCACACACACACACACACAATAGAGTGAGAAGAGTGAGAGAGAGAGAGAGAGAGTGAGAGAGAGAGAGGGAGAGAATTTTAAGCCTGGAAATAAACTTTTGCTTCTTTCTCTCCTTTTTTTTTTGTATCGTAAGACAAGAAGGGATGGATGTGCTCCCAGCCTTGGTGCACTACGGAACCATTTTATAAATATTTAACATTCTATAGGACTGATTCATATATTCTCACACAACTCTGTGGCAAGGCTGACCCATGCTGCCGACATTCTACATATCACTGAGACAGGGAGGTGAAATTTTCCTGCATTCAGTCTAATTGTCTTTGACAATTGCAGTGGCTGGTCCTACACTGCTTGTGTTTATTTAAAAAACAGGGGAAAGAAGAGAGACTTGTTCATTAAAGATGCAGTATCCTTGGTTCACGCAAATGTATCTGGCAGGTTCAAAATCAAATGTCAACCAAAGGTCTCAGCAGCGTGTGAGCTTCAGTTCATGCGACGGTAAGTCACCAATACAGCTGGTTTGGGATTCTGAAATACTATCAGCTCCATGCTTGCTAATGTGCTTCTGATAAAAATCGACAGGTGATTCAGCAACTTTTCAAAAGGAAAAAAATAAAACAGATCAAAAACACTGATGCTTCAAGTGATCATGTGTGTCTCTGCACATAGGAAGAAATTAACTAGTTGCTTCTGCATAAAGTAAAATGGATGTCCGTTTCAAAATTTACATAGATGGTATTAAAAACAGCACATGTATATACACAAACACACACATTAACTATATATATGTGTGTATATATAGATAGGTGTATATATATGTTAGAACTTCAGTGGCCTCAATAGTTCAGCAAACTGTGTCCCTTCCAACTGGGAAAATAGAGGTTCAATCTCAATTTCTTGCTGAAAATCTTGAGAATGAGATTCTATAGAAGTATCATTTAGCCTGCAGTTGGACATTTTCGAGATCTAATTCTAAATGCCTGTAAAACATATTTTCAAACCCACAAATATATTTAAATTTACCAGGACCTATTGCTGGAATTAATTTGGATTATTTTGAATGTATTCTTTTGAAAACTGCATAGCCAAGTACTATGCAACCCATGTAAATTGACCTTGCTATTTTACATAGCATAGCCTCTGGATAGCTTCTATCACTTGCCCAGATGGTGTTTGGCCTATGTATTTTAGTGGAATGGTTTATTTTCTCCTTGATAGGTTTCAAATGCACAAGAAAACATTAGACCCGTCTATCTGCATTTGAGTAGAATACAAACTGACTAATAGATAAACATTCTGTGTGAAAGTAAATAGCCTTAAAGAATACTGTTCTTCACATTTCATTGATCAGCTCAGTCAGCAAAGTTTTCCATATTGTTACTAATGCGCTAAATATTTCGGAGAGAAGCATGCCAGAAGTGTCGGAGGATTTCCAATGTTGTGTCACTTGTAAGGTCATTGTGAACAATGAATCTGTTGAATTTCTATGGATCCGTGTATAGAAACAGTGTTCCATTCCTCTCTTTTGTTCCTGTTGGAAATGTTATTGCAGTTGGGAAGAAGAGACTTAGTGGACTGGTCCAATCCCTGGCCACACAGCAAGGGATTTGGACTGGTTCATTACCTTACCTTCATTAACAGCCTTCTTCAAATGTTTACCAATCCAAAGGAGGCCAAGAGTAGAAAGCCTAATTCAGTTGTACTTTCAAAGATATGGTATCCTAACCCTACCCCAAGATCCAGAAAGGATGGTCAGAAAAGAGCTCATTATTAGGTTAGTTCATAGAAGAGCTCATAAATGCTGTCATGTAGCATCAAAGAATCATACTCACTATCACATAGAGCACTATCTACTCAGAGGTCAGTCTTATCTCCCCCAAGAGATCTTCCTTTTTTCAGCATGCCCAATTTCCTAAGAGATCAAATCCTAGAATTCATGAGGCTAGATGAAATTTACACATGACCTCAGCTTCTGCCTAAGTGGATGGATTTGGGACTACTTTGTTCTTAAAGTAAATTTTAAGTCACATAATGCCAAGAGCTAATATGTATAACTTGAATTTACCCTTCATTTTATAAGTGAGTGTAAAACACAACAATGTAGTCATCTATTTGGCAATAATTTTTAAGAGCTGTAAAAAAAAAATGTGGGTCCATAATGGATTTTCCCAAGTTGTCTAAATAAGATTGGGCATGTCAAGACTTGCCAGATGCCTTCAAGTGAACACAGCATGTTGGCGGAAATGAAATGTAATGTCTAAAAGACGGAAAATAGGTCAGCACTTTGAAAAAGTAAACTTGCCAGTGAGCTCAATATGAACCTATCAGTTAATAGGAATATGAGAATGCCTTTACAATAAGAGATGTGCAAGATAGACCAGAACACCATCAGAGTTGATTCACTTGTGAAAAGCAGAGGAGATACTTAAATATTGTTCTTGTGTCCTTAATAAAAGGCACAGCTTTTTAACATTTTCTTCTTTTTTGTCTAAGCACAGTCTTATCGACAGAATTTCATAATAAATTAAATTCTGGTTCATTTGCTCTGTTTTTAGTAGCATTAAAAAAGGGGATGGAGTAAGGATCAAGCATTGTAAAATTTCAGAAATATTACAAAATCCTTCATTAGCTGTCTCGATGTTAGGCATTTCAGAAAATCTGACACTGTGAATGGGATCAGTTAAAAAAAAGTGAAGGGGAATAAAATAACAGAAAGACCTTTCGTGGGGCATCGCATTGTATTTATTTAATTTTCAAAAAATATATACATCATTTCTTGGATACATAAAATGCCAGTGATTTGCAACAGTTTTGTTACTGCATCTTTAAGCTTCAAAAAGTAAAATAAAGGTAAAAAGAGAGAAGAGGGGATAAGCAAACAAGAAAGTATACATTCAAAGAATGAGGCTGTTCTGCTTAGGGTGGGGCAGTGGCCTTGGGCAGCTACAGCCTACACTGTGGGTTCAGAGGCACTGCTGAGCATCAGTCAGCTGCCAATGAAACACTGCACATAAAGCATTACAGGGCAGAAAGAACAACTTCATGGGGAGCCAGAGAGGAGTGTGTGGAATTAAGCAAAATTCTACATATGCCACTTGGAGATGGGTGGATTGAGATGGGAGAAAGCATAAAGACAGATGATTCTGAAAAGGATTAATGGGCGGAGATGGATGCAAACAAAGTGACATGTTTGGCAAGTTCTATTGCATGTGTGTGCGTCCACTCCCAATTTTCTACTTTACTTTCCAATAGAAATGCAACAAAACTGAGGTAGACATGTACGTGGGAGCATTATAGCCCAGGAGACTTCAAAATGAGAAGCAAAATTGCACTGACAAGAGTGGTGTCAAAAGGAAAAAGAAAGTGAGGGGATGGAGAGGTTCCTTTAGGACATATATACGTGTATATATACATAATATACATACGTACACACACACACATATATGTATATATGCTGTTTTATGATCTGAGTTTTGGTTGCTATCCTCTGCATTCTATGAAGCAGTATGACGAGCCGATAGACTCGAGTAGGGGCTACATGACACCGTTCCCGGCGGTTTGAAGAGAGAACTTACAAACGACACCACCACCACCGTGCTCCGGTCAAAGACAGTCGTAGTTTTCAGACACTGTGACTCTTCAGGATCCTACAAAGGTCTTGTGGCTGGCTGTCCCAGACACTAACACACACACTAAGTAAGTAGCTTTCCAGTAACCAGTGTACCTTTTTAAGAACATTTCACTTAGTTATCAGGGAGCAGTGTACCCAGAACTCCTGCAGTTATTGATATCACAGAATTCTCCTGCTCTGGTTAATTCCCCACAATCAGTAAAAGAACCTTGTTTTAGTTTACTAGTTTTAATCTTTCCTCCCCCCCCCCCCTTTAACGTTAAATTGTTGGTATTCAGTTGTATCACACGTCAGTATTTTTCCGGATACATTCAAAGTAATTTTCCCTTGCTATTTTCCAATTGTTGAGGTAAACATACATCTTCATATAAAGGAACAATGAAGCTTAGCCTATTTCTCTCAGCAGTACAGAGTGCTTTCAACGCATTCCTTTGAGGTACTGTACAAATCACAATCGCTTTCCTGAGTTTTTGCAGACAAGAACATTAAAAGAAATGAACTGCAGAAATTAAGGTCCAGATTACCGTTACCCTGTTTTACCTGTTCTTAGCTGAATACTGCAGAACAGACAGGATTGAGGAATACTGTTGCTCTTAAAATGGCAAAAAATCTGGTTTTCTGTCGTCACACAACTGTTCATCTCTTTAGTCCAATAATGTTTGAAGTTAAAGCTCTTTATATTAGCACATGCCACCAAGGTAATTGTGAGGCAAACAAAAACATAAAGCACCACTCCAGGCACTTGACAGCAACTAAATCTCGAGAACAGCAGAATGGAATCAACACACGAGGCTCATGTCCTTCTCAAATCAACACACTTGCACCTTGCTCCTTGGTGAGTGTTGTCTAGCTGGAACCGAATTGAGCATCCACATCTGCTCTCTGTCTGGGGCTTTCAAATCAGAAGCTTTCCTGTGATGCGCTTTTCCTCCCAAGACTACCCTGACTCTAAAGATGGGGCGTCATTGTCGTCTTCCCCGGTGCCCTTTGCGATTGAAACACTACTGGAAAGGGGCTCTCTACCCTATGTAGCAGGTTTTTATGTGTGTGTGTGCCAACATTCATTACATTTTTTTGTAAAGAACTTATCACTGACTGCAACCAAACATTTTGTTCCATTCAACATACATATCGAGCTCTTTTTGAGATATGCTAGGCTGAATCTTGCAGAAAGCATTTTCAAAGTCTTGATATGTAACCGGCCTCAACGGACTGGGCATAATGGCTGAAAGGTCTGTGGCTGGCATGGCGTGGAGGGGGCCCACCGCTGCTTCCTGACACAAATGAGCCACATCCAGTCCAGAAAAGCCTTCCGTGCGCTGGACGAGCAGTGCAAACTCCTTGTCATTGAGACAGTAATTGTGCTGTGAGAGCAGTTGGACTATTATCTGGTGCCTCGCTGTGCTGTCAGGAAGTGGGATTAAAAGTCGCTTCATGAAGTACCTCCGAAGAGATTCGTCTATTTCTTCTGGTTTACTCGTGGCACAAATGACTACGATTTGGTCCTCAGCCGAAGTCAGTACACTGTCCAGCTGCATCAGAAACTCGGTTCTCATCCGACTGACTGGACTGTGCTCCTCGCTCACCTGTGAGGAGAGAAGCATATCAATGTCACTAACGAAAATCACCGAGGGCTGGCGACACCTGGCCACGAGGAAGGAGGCCTGGATGATTTTCTCGGCTTCGCCTAACCACTTGGCCACTAGCCCGGAACCAGCAATTTTGAAAAACGTGGCGCCCAGCTGACTAGCGATGCATCTGCCCAACAAAGTTTTGCCTGTTCCCCGAGGCCCAAAGAAAAGGATGCTCCGCGGTAAGGCCGTCAGCCCGCTGAATGCGTCTGACCTCAACACCGGCCATAAAACCTCCTCTTTAAGGACGGCCTTTATTAGGTCGAGGCCCGCAATGTCGCTCCAGTCCACGGGAGGTCCTGGCGTGATAATCTCATTGGTGACCAGGTCAATGAGGTGTGCGTCGGCATTTTTCAGTTGCTCGTCCACGGAGTGGCTGGATGAGGTAGCTGCACGGAGTCCCGGGCCTTGCATCGGGTGCGAGAGGAGCTGCCTGTGCTCGTCCCCATGGTCACTCATGACCGGCGACGTGTACTTTCCAAAGGACTCACTGGATCTCGACCCCAACGAATTCTTAGCAGTGCTGTAGGACGGGGGGGTCAGCGCCCGGCTGGACTGGCTGCTGAATTTCCTTTGCTGCTCAGAGGACATTAGCTGCTTCGTTGGCTTAAATGCTAAGGATGATGCTTCAGCACTTCTGTCAAAGCCATTCCCCCGATTTGTGTTTGAAATGCTGTTGTCGGGCATTCTGTACATAGGACTCTGTGTAGATCTCTGTTGGCCATAGCTGTAATTTCCATAAGTGGCGTCCATCTCTCCTTGCCCTGCCATATAGAAGGCTTTCCTTTTGAGAGAACTGGCTGAACTGTTGGTCAGGGCCGACGGTGCAATGGGCGTCAAACCGTGACCCTGGTAGGTGTAGCCAGGAACGGTGGTGGGGGGCAGAGGGGTGGGCGCGGGGATTCCTGAAGGCAGGTATGCTGACGGGGGCGGGGGTGCCCCTCCGGGGCTGTACCCAGGGCCCACCGCAGTCTGAGGCGGGTAGCTAGCAGAGGGGTAGCTGTACGTGGCGAGGTTCGTCGTCCCATTGTAGCCTGGGACCAGGGCTGGCGGCGGCGGGGGCGGCGGCGGGGGCTGCAGGAGCCCAGAGCTGTGCAGGGGCGAGGGGTGCGGGGACGGAAGTGCAGGTGCTGGCTGGCTGCTGTACGTTGAATGCAGGTACGAGCCGTTGTAGCCGGGGGCATATTCCTGAGAAGGGAGCCCCGCGTGGAGGCTCGGGCCAGTGTGGCTCCCGCAGGTGCTACTGGAATAGCTCGGTTCCGTCAGGCTGCTGGCCACCCCGGGCGAGCTCCCGATACTTGCAGAGACGTCTGCGGGCGGGAGGGCTGCCCCGACGCCAGCTTTGCTGGCGGTGATGACATCGGGGACACAGTTCATAGGATAAACGGCTTCGGAATTCAAGGAAGGCTGCCAGGGTTCACTTTCCGTCTTGCGACCGTTCATCAGGGCCGACGGGGCGTCGGAGTAGTTGCTCAGCACCGGCCGGTCCACGGGGCCTTCTAAGATGCCAGAATACTTCTCGGCATATTTCTTCAGCAGGTTGGATGCGGTCAGAGCAGAGATGTCGTCATTGGCCCAGGCATACTGGTAGGTGCGCTGCAGATGCCCTCTGTAGGCTTCGACTTTGTGCGCTGGAGACCGAGTGGTGGAGGTGATGTCAAAGTGCTGTTCTGGCCACTGGGCATGCTCCGGCGTCCACTGCATCTTCAAGCCTAAAGATTTTTTGGGGTGGGGGTGGGGGGGGAAACAGTTCGTTTACTTAGCTATTCATCCAAAGTATTAAAAGCTTTCCTCTCCCCACCCCCAAATTCTTTTGTTACCTATTATTTTCCATTAATGTTTATCCCCATGATAACCCATTTCCATAGTTTTTAATACTTGTTACCATCATTATACTCTTTAAAATGGATTACATTTCTGCCCAGTCTAAAAAGTAAATAGGATTTAAAGGAAAACTCTGGAGAAGATCCAAAATTCTTCTGCTTTTAAAATAATAAGCCAATCTGTTTCCATTAAAAGGAACTCATCAAATTATTTGCTAAATGCACACACACACACACACACACACACACATACAAATACACATTCCTGTCCAATTTTAATTTAATCACAGGCTCTTACAATAAAATATGCATACATTTAAAGCACCTAGCACATGACAATATTAACATGTATGATATCTAGCTATTCTGTCTCTACACATCATAGTTTCTGTTTTCTATTTTAACCAATATAAAAATGAGTCACAGCTGACAGATCACATCTAGGATACCTCTCTTATTTGGTACTGAACACCTAGTTAGCACAGTATAATGCTCCCTGTGCAGAACAATGTGACACAGACATAGCAGGTCATTCCATAATCCAACTCTCATCTAAAGTGGTCCACGACAGTTTCAAATCTGCTTCGTGGAGTGCAGCAAAGCAATCTCCCAGGCAGCGCTCCACCGCTTTCATCACACAAAGCCTACAACTCGGTATGAATTACAACGGGCTCCTTTCTGCCTCTCAGTTCTGTTGTTGAGTCTCTGGGAAAAAAAACAAAAAACAAGCATCACTTGTCTGTCGGTCTTCCTGAGTTTGCCTCCATTCTCTGATAATCCCCTTTCCCTTTACAGCCTCCAAAGTAGTAGGAGGAAGGAGACATTTTCTGTGTACGTGTGTGTGTGTGTGTGTGTGTATGTGGATATACACATAGACAAAGGAGCCTCAAAAAACTCAGGGGAAAATGAGATAGGAAGATAGTGGAATTTTTCCTTGAACTATATTTATACACACACATGCAGACATGAGGGAGCTTCAAAATCATGGAAAAATGGAATAGAATGAATGGAACCTTTCCATGAACTTTTTGAAGCCCTCTTGCATATGTATTATACATACACATATGCAATTATACATATGTGGGTATATGTAATTGTATGTAAAGGCGGTGGAAAGGAAGGGAAGGATATGGATGGAGGACTAATCTGTGCCCTAACTCCTTTCATTTTGACGGGAAGCAAAGCCTGGCATAAACTAAGAATGCTCGTAGCTAAGGAGAGGGTACGGTTAATTCTATCATCTGCTAGACTCTGAATCCACAAAACAAGAGCATTTTCTTGCTTTAAAGAAAATAACCTTCAGAATCTAAAACTCATTTGAATTTTAAAGGTTTAAATAAGGCCGCTTAGGAATGCTTTTATTTCAGAGATTAGGAAACTGAGGCCCAGGAGAAGACTGACAACTTGCGGCTGAGATCTCCTTCAGGGTGAGGGACAGACACATACTAGAACTCACTTCTCCTATTTCCCAGAACTGACTCATCCTACTCCAATATCTGCTGGGTTCAAACACTGCCTCTTCTGGTACAGCTAGACTAAGCAGGCCTCCTTAATCTCTTTTGTATTACCCACAGTGACTTTTACAAACTGTCTTGTGCCCGCTGGCACAGATTCCTTGGTAAGGAGGAGGCCCCGTCTAAATGAAGCATCTGGGTTCCCTTCTGAATCGCCAGTCTATTTTGACAGCTCCTGCTCCCTTCTCTTCTCTTCCCGGAAACCCTTTAGCTCTTCATTGCCTGCCTCTGGCTTCTGACATGGCCAGATTAGACGCACTGAGCTAAACTGAGCACAGCACACAGTTTGGTAACAGAATGGCATGTTGATTCCCTTCTGACTCCCTCTTCCTTGTTTGCAAAACCACTGCACCAGACACTGGAAGTTAATTAGCAGGATGATGCTGTGCTAATTGTGTTAATTTACAAGGTTTTAGTCAAAGAGAATCATGCCAGGGCTGGCACTGCTGTCATGCTTCCGACTTAATGATTAAGAAATACTGAAAACAAGGTGGGAAGGATTGCAGTAATTACACAATAAATGAATAAAGCAACAGGATTCATTTGCAAATATATTTTATTGCAGTTGTACTCATTTGCATTTGGATTTTTTAAAAAAGGAACCATGTAGATATTCATTTGCAAATCACTATCTCAGTTAGATTGTCTGAATACTATGCAGTATAACTTAATCAAGCTATATATATATATATATATGCATGCAAAATACTAGACTTTGCATATTTTGCATATACAATAGATTTCTGTTTTTTTCTCATAACCCAACCCCCTCCCCCCAAATCATCATGCTTCGATTGTTAAAATCCATCTTTAAAAAATAATCTCATCCATTTGTGCAGGGTGTCGTGAAATCCTGATGGAAGTTCAGTTGTATTTTTTCACTCAGAAAAACTTGGGTGAGTTCTAGGAAGAACTAAAATGACAGTCTTAATTGTCTCACTTTCCCAATCATTACTTTTGAAGGAGAGGAAAACACACCACAAAATGGGTGGAATGACTGAAACCACACTTAAAGGGGAAGAGATGCAATTTTAATGAAGCAGCATTTCAGGAATCATACTTTCATTAAATTCAACTGGAAATTATTAAGAGCAAATCACCAGGAACCAATCGCAAGTAATCAGTATCTAATTTTTTCTTGTGTCATGGGATTTACTTCAAGCCTTATAAAAATGAGAGAATATTAATGTGACTATAATGTAGAACTGTCTAAAAGACCTGCAAATTCATTAGCCCTGTAAATATTTCTAGGGAATTTCTATTAGGAATTTTTTTTCTTTAAAGATTATCAAAATACAGAGTTGGGAAAATTATACCACACATATGCTAAGAATAGGGATTTAATCAGGTTGACATAGCAGAGACATGTGAATAAATGTCTCAAAACAAGATCTCGGGAAATAATTTAGAAGTCACAAGTCATGGAATTTACCACAGTGTGTGCGCATGTGCACACACGCACACGCATGCACACACACACCCCTCCCTGTCCCCTACCCACAAGTAAAGACTTAATGTTCAGTAGCTGAGCAAAGCCACTGTTGGCATTAGATAGTAGACATAAATAAATGACATGATTTTTGAAAATTCCTTTAAGAAATAGAAAGTTGCTTTAAATTTACATAATTATATAAAAAAGGATTATCCTCCTCATTGGTTCTTGCCTTACAACTTTTTCTTGCAAATTAATCATCTATGAAAATGTGCAAAAGTGATTTTAATAAAGTAAAATCACTGTAAAAGACAAGAAAGTGCAGTTTAAATAAAACAAGTTAACCATTATCTCTGGGTATTTCTGCCTAGTTTAACTAGCAAACCTAATGAAATTGCATATGATTTTTCTATTTCATCTGAAATTAAGCAAAGATCGTATCCATCAAAAGTATTTATTTGGAACAATTACTGGAGACACCACTGCCTCGTTATTTTCAAGCTATTTTTGGATGTGCTTGCCAAGATAATTGAAAGTTTATTTATTGATGCATACTAAATAATAATAACCTTAGCATAGCTGCAAAAGGCAAGATTTAGCTTTGATTAAATAACCTTCAGGGAACAGAACTGTTCACATCCCCTGAAACACGAGCATTTATTCCAGGGCATTGAAATCATTAATGTCTTTTAAAAGCACAAGTTACTAGTTCGCCATAAGTTAGTTCTAACTATTATTATGTATTTGCCGAAGAAGCTAGTGTTCAGGAGATTGTCTCGGCCTTGGGAGCATTACGCGCCTTTTCTTCAATTCCTTGATTTTGACAGCAACTTAGAGTCATGGCAAGTTTGGATTTTGTTGTTGGTATTGTCCTGTTTATTGGGAGTCATCCTCCTGTTGTGAAATGTTTGGAAGAATACACAGAGCCAAATTCTTTGAATTATATTCAAACATTATGCTGCCTTTGATTATATTATTATCCGTGAATGAGAAGAAACACACATGTCACTTAACTTGGCCCCTACATAGTACGATAGGCTTTATAAACCGCTGTTATGTGGATTCACTTTGGAACACGAAGCGAAAACGTTCTGAAACAACACAATTTCAATATTATTAGAAACACGACTCCAGGACAATGATTCTCCTACTGCTGGAAAATATCTTAAATACGTGCCATAAGAAATTCAGAAGACAGCGGGAGGTAAGAACATTGTTCCTAAAGAGAACCGAGGAACGGTTGGCAAACATCATGACTACGTAGGAGAAGGAGCCCGACATTCTGGATGCCGCGGGCAGGTTTCATGAAGCATGGGTTTGCTTTCACATATGTAGTTGAATAGACAATTGCTTTCTAAGCTAATTTGACAGAAGTGTCACATGGGAATGACAGTTCCTGTACTAAAAGTTTGTGCATTTTGTTATTGTTCTGACTCTTATATGAAGAATATATACATATGTATGTAAACACACACGTACACACATACGTCTATATTGTCCGTAACATTTGACAGTTGGAGAGCATTTTCCATTTTCCCCATTACTGACCATTCAAAATGGGACAGTTACTGACTGCTTGGCTCCCACCATTTTGCTCTCTAGTTCGACTGGGTCCAGAATCAAACAACTGAAATTTGGCCACAGCCTCAACATGTTAAAGAAACTTACATAGGAAAATGAAGAGTCCCCAAACCACCTAGGGGGTGGGAAGAAATGGGCAGCGAAAGCCTAGGCCTCCAAGAATCAATTGTTAGCAACCATTCCTGGAAATACTCCTCTACGGCACTCACTACCCCCCTCGCAACCCCATCCCACACACAGGCTCTTGAACAGTTAATTCATCAGGTCTAAGAAAGCTGCTCTCTTCTGCAAGGTTCCCATAAAGTAATCCTAGCTGCCAGGACTCTACCTTCATTTGTAGGTTTTTTCAGACCTCCTTAGGG